TAAGGATAAATTAAGGCCTATATCGCTAATGTCCTGTATTTGTAAGATATTTCATGCTCTTATAACGAAAAGATTAGAATGGTACAAAGAACACAACAAGATATTATCCCCTTTCACCAGTGGGTTTCGCAAATCTCAATTGTGCTTGGATTGTTTAGTATGCTTAGTAACACATATTCAGCTAGGTTTTTCAAAAAATATACCTACTGTCGCCTGCTTTATTGACATAGAGAACGCTTTGTCCCAATTGATAAATTAGTTAATGTTCTTGACAGACTTCGGGTTGGTTCAAAATTTTGTAAATATATTTTGGTCTTTTTTAACCGAAAGATATCTTGTTATAGAAAGGGAATCACATAAAGGGGAATTAAAAAGATGGGCCAGTAAGGGTTAGGCGCAGGGTGATCCTCTATCTCCCTTGTTATTTAACATTATTACACATGATATATGTAGACAAATACAAAATGTATCTATCGCTCAATATGCAGATGATTTTGTAATCTATTCGAGTTCAAAAAATCTTAAGGACTGTGAGTATGACTATGAAACATTCAGAATGCTTTAAACTGTATAATTACTTCACTTAATAAAATTGGCTTAGATATTTCTATCGCCAAGACTAAGCTTATGATTTTTAGTAGAGGTTTTAGACGTCAGGAAATTAAATTAGAACTATATGGAAAGAGAATAGTTGAGACAGACAAAATGCGATATTTGGGTATTTGGTTGGACCGGTCATTAAGATGGTCTAAACACATTAATGAAATTAGCCAAAAGATATTAAAATTTGTAAATATATTAAAAGTATTAACAGGGCATGGTTGGGGTATCCATCCGCAGCATTTACGTAGGTTATACTTATCACTTATAAGAAGCAGAATTGATTTTGGCTGTTTTTTTGTATGATATGAGTGCTAATAGAAACATTTGTAAATTAGATAAAATCCAAAATCAAGAACTTCGTATTATAGGAGGTTTTATCAAAAGTACACCAATACACGTTATGGAAAGTGAATTAAATATAACGCCTCTATATATTAGAAGAAAATTTTTGTCATATAAATATTGTCTGAAAGGTAAATCTAGAACTAATAATACTACTATTAAACTATGAACAGAACTCAGCTTATTCTGTCAAGACAGGTACTGGCAAAATAAAAAGAAACCACTTCTAGCAATTACATTAGAACAAGTTAATAATAATAATGTGTATTCTTCGGATCCACTAGATATGTTCTCTTTAAATCCTTGGTTATCAAGCATCAATGTTAAAAACGTAATTAAACAGGACTCAAATTGTATCAAGGGTGCTAAAAAATGTCAGGAGATAAATATTTTAAAGTCGAATGTAATAAATGAATTAAATGTAATTATTTCGGATGGCACAAAATTTTCTGTGATGGATCCAAAGATAAATATGGTGTAGGTGCCGCTTATTTTGACTCATTGCTGGGTAATAAAAGTAAAATTAAAATTCCTAATAATTTTACGATAATGTCAGCTGAATTAATTGCTATAAATGATACCCTATTACATGCTGGTATAACAAATTTTCGAAAAACAGTCATTCTAACTGATAGCAAGAGTGCTCTTGAACATACTGCTCGACGCGTCTCTGGTCTCAGAGGTATATCGATAGCATATTCGATATTAAATGAAATATTGAAACTTCAATGTAAAAACCGTGAGTCAGTATTGCAGTGGGTACCGTCCCACATCGGTTTACAGGGCAATGAGGAGGCTGATAAGCTGGCGAAATTGGCAATCACCCAAGGAACAGAATGTAATATTTATCCTGATTATTCAGAATTTTTAATTAAATATAAAGAGAAATGTTATACAATTTGGAAAGAATATTTTGATAAAAGATCGCAAGAAAAAAGGGATTTGATACAAAACCATCCAGAGTCAGCCTCCGAAAGTGCCTTGGTTTAATCAATGTCTGTTGAATAGAAAATATATTGTATTAGCAATGCGACTTCGTTCCGGACACATTCCGTGTAACAAGTTTGCTTTCATGATGAAAATGAAACAATCTCCAAATTGCGATACATGCAAAACAATAGAAGATGTACAACACTTGCTCGCGGAATGTTCCAAAAATCATCATGAAAGGAAACTATTAGTTGCCAAAACTGATATTAAAATTTGTAACCTAGGGGAATATCAAAGCATTCTATCTGAACCATTATCTAATGCTGCTCAAATTGTATATAACTTAGTTAATATTTTGTGTAAATAATTTAAGAAATTGTAGTTTGTTATTTAGTTATAAGGTACAATGGGACTGACATGTTTAAAATAACCTAAGTCCCTAAATTTAAAAAAAAAGAATTAAAAAAAAAGATACTGTGACATCAGTGATTTTTTTGGTTTTTTTAAAATATTCGGTTACAAATTATTATACTAAATTTTGTACGAATACTATCTAGGATAGATACTAATGTACATCAATCGTATCCTTCTAAGACGAACGGCTCTGGGAGATTTAGATGCATAGAAACTGTTGTAGGGTTATTAACTTCCCAGTGGGAAGTTATTGTAATGGGTCCGATTTTGCAAATTTTAACATATCGTTGCAAGATCTTTAGAGTTGAATAGTTATGGTTTTTAAGAGGATGTCCGTGTGTGCACATGTAGGTACGTATGCATGTATATATGTATGTTCGGATTCCATTTTCACCTCGTGTATCTCGAGAAAAAAAAAGAGTGCTTTTGGCGTGGGACTAGTTTCATTTAACGCATAATTATGTAACTTAGACCTCATTAAATTTTGAGCAAAATCGACAATATGAAGATCGATATATCGAAATGTATGATATTTTTTATTCTTTCCACTGGGAAGTTAATCGTGTGAATCTTCGGGTCGCACATAGACCGCTTTTATAAAACAATTAAATATTATATGTATTTTTTTATAGGATATGTGTGACAAACGAGCACACAGTCCACCTGATGATAAGTGATCGCTGCGCGTGTGTCCGTATGGCTTTGCATCTTTTCCCTTCCTACGTCACGGACGATATTCCGTGGTTATATAAGGCTTTCAGTAAAGAGCAGGGTAAATGTATTCTGTGGCAAAGAGTAAAAAAATACATTAACTACGTAGTATAGTACCAATTCATTATTTATTCAATATACCAACCAACAACGTGTACCAAATATAATAACCTTTGATTATATAGACAGGTATATAATCAAAGATTCGGCTATTATTCCGTATTTGACTACTTTTATCCTTATTGACCGAATACCGAACACATAAGTAGGGGTTTTATTGTAGTCAGATAAATGGTAAAAATTGAATTTTTATTCTTGTAATCATTAAAGTAGTCATAGGTTGGTACATAGTTAAACTTCCATATTATAAAAATTGAAAATGAGTTATCAGATTAAATGCCTATGCACTCGAATTTCGTAATTAAAATGGAAGATAATGGTGCGGAGACTAATTTTTCTTTATTTTCAGGCACTAGTTAGACAATCCTAGCTTCAGAGAATATAGACGATCTGAAGAAGGAAGTCCGCAGAGTATTCGGTATGTTGCCGAATATAAGTACTTATACTATTCGTTGCAAGTCTAGTGCATATATATATATATATAACTTACAATTTAAAAAAAAAGAAATTCACTCGTAGAAACGGCGCTGGCTTATGCTTGCGTGCTATGCTGCGTAAATTTCAATGCGTGTAAGTAACGTATTAGTGGAATGTGTAGCTTGAAGAAATTTTTTTTTACCATTATCCGATAGCAGTTCTTAATTTTGTAATCACATATTTTTTATTGACTCAGGGAAATACTATTTTGCATTTCATTTATAGTTTATTACAGTAGATTCGCTCTTACAGCGATATAAGCACCCCACAAAGCTATACTTGCTTTACTGCTATCACTTGGTTTGAAGGCAACAGTCGAATAACGACGAACGGTTGTTACCAATTCGTCTCAGATAACTATCCGGTACTAGTACTTGGTAATATTAAGTAACATAAAAAGGCCCTAAATATTTTTTATTAAGCCATACATTTGAGCCACATCCCTATATTTTGGCTTGAAAACATCTCAGGATCTTCGGTGGTGAAGGATAACATCGTGAGTTAAACGGCTTATCTAATAAATATAATACTTCGAGGACATGTTAAGTCCGCCAACACACATTAAAGCACCGCAGCAGAAAAATTGCTCAATCTCTCCCAGAAGTGAAAGGAGGCCTGTGTCCAGCAGTGGGGCATATTTATGCGCTCTTAGTTTTTTGTGTGCCGTGTAGTGGCGGTCTAGAATATCCACTACCCCATATCTTCCCGTGGGTGTCGTAAGAGGCGACAGAGGGAGACAGGCAGGAGATGGGCAGCAGCATCTTCCTAATAACAACAATAATATAATAAAAAACTGCGGTTGCCAACCCGCTCGCCACGCGTTGCAACCATGGCAAATATCAACCCATGAGCAACGACACAAACAAGCGGCCCCCAGTCCCCGGCGGCCCCGCTATTCCTGGCTACTGTGACGACCATGATAACGGCGGGGCAGGGGGTCAGCACCCCCCTCTAGATGGAGTGACAACCTGGTAAGACATGAAGGAAGCCGATGGATGCAGGTGGTTCAGGACCGTGCTTTGTGGCGTACCTTGAGGGAGGCCTACGTTCAGCAGTGGACTTGTGAAGGGCTGTAACAATGATGATGACGAGTTTTTTTAAGTTTGTGATCTCTGGAACTGCTAATACAATACCAAAAATTCTTTTCCTGAATTTTAGGCAAGTAAATACGCATGGATTAACAATTAATTTCTGATAAACCATATTTTATTTAACACAGTAATTCTGGTTTTAATAATACAAGTGTATCCACATTATTTATCAATTATTATAGAATAGTAAAATTACACCTCAATAAGTTGCCCTGAACAACAATTACATGGATAAAAGGTTTTAAAGTCAAGGCTCTTATGATTTGAAGAAATCAAATAACTACTTTTTAAGTTTGAGAGTAGCTCCATAACCTTAGCTAGATCAACCTTTCTAGACTCATCTTGTAAATAAGTTTCTAAATTTTTATCATTAGCAAATCTTAATAGCAAATTATTAAGATCTTGTAATTGTCTCCTCAACTTATCACTTTCTTTTTGAAACATTTTTATTTGCTCACTTCTATCTTCATCTCTCTTCTTCAGTAAGCTTCTTTGTTGTTGGTATAGAGCTATGTATTCACATACTGTGTCCGTTTCATTTTGCAGTTGAAGAATAATGTGTTCAAGTCTGTGCTTTTCATCCGATAAATTAGCAACTTCATCCATTATATTAAGAAAACGCTCTTGAAGCTTTAGCATAGCATCTTCTTTTGCAATACTTAATTTTGTTTCTTCATTGCTACTTTCAATCAATTCTTTGTGGCCTTCGTGAATTTTAGCAGGGTCATGTATAGTTTTCTCCTGGTTGCAGTTTATATCTATTTGATCTTGAACATGATTATGCTGTTCCACTGAAAGTTGTTGCTTATTCTCAGCCAAAGTTTCATATTTTTTTTCTAAGAGTCTATAACTGTTCTGTAATCTTATCATTTCCTCATCTTTAGCCATCAGTTTACTATGCAATGATTTAGTATTCTCTTCTATTTCAGCAAGTTTAAGCATCAATTCTTTAGTTAAATGCTTTTCATGTGTCAATTTTTCAGTTAGATCTAATTTATCTTTACTCTGAAATCAGAAATTATAAGCAATATTGAATTTGATCATATTTTAAAGTACTATATTCATGAAACACAACAGTAAAATACATGTTTCCATCTTTGATTGTTGTTATTATTTTAATAATTGAGTTTGCCTGTAGCTACTATGCGGTGCACATTCGCCTGCAAGTTTTTCAGAAATCATACCACTGCTGCTAAGCACAGAGTGGATATGGTGTCTATGACAGTTTGTGTGCAGTAAGAAGTTGTTTTATAGAAGAAAGGGTCACTGATGAATGCCTTGTTTCTAGCAAAAAAGGTCTCAGGTCCTTTACGCCTCTAATTATCTGACCATACGAAACACAGCAGCATTAAGATACTATTTCACGCTGGTATTCTGCGAGAGCGTGGTTTCTCTGGGTTCGAACCAACGCATTTGTGGTACAACCATAATACAGCTGCAGCCGTAGGTCTACCACATATTTTTTTATAGGATAGGGTGACAAACGAGTACACAGCCCACCTGATGGTAAGCGGTTGCTGTGGCCCATAGACATCTACATCTAGCCTCGATTATGAATCAAAATGCAGATGCGTCGTCACCCATGAGACTAAGATGGAATACCTCGTTTGCAGTAATAAAAAGTGCCTCCCGGTTCTCTTACACTCACCATACGAAACACAGCAAGCAGCATTAAGCTACTATTTGACGCTGGTATTCTGTGAGAGTGTGGTCCTTCCCGGATCGAGCCGATCCATTCATGCTACAACTATACTACTCCAATATAACTGCAGCATGGTTCTACCGCGTATAGTATATAATATTACATGAGTTGAAGAATATATTATAATATATATTTTTAGAAATTATCCCACTGCTACATAAGTCCACGAATCTGGCACGACGCAAAAAACTCTTTGAAAGTGTGCGTTGAGGAATTGATGGGGAAGGCCCTAACTTTTACTTTCATGTTGAAATAATATTGTCACTTTTTAAATAAGTACTAAAATTGATACGTGGTGGGGGCATAAGAAAGTCCATGAATCAATTTCTGTTATAAGAGAGGACTATGCTTTGGAATATGCCAGAAAATCACAAGGTTTAAGCCAAATGCCACGTTAATATTAATTTATAAAATGGCCGCTGCAATGGGAGTGTAGCTTGCTACTATAATTACTTTATACTATAATTTCATCTCTTTCCTTAAAATCAACTGGTTTATATTCACTCTACACAGTAGAACGACGATTATCCGAACGTCGATTAACCGAACGACCGCTTAATCGAACTGCTACCTCGGTCCTCGGTACCTCATTGGGATGCGACCACCTTCTCGCTTTTCCACGCAGTGTCCCGTGTTGGCCTACGTTTCTTACCGATAAAATATAAATACGAGATTAACCAACGATTAGAGAAAGGCGAATCTGCAACCAAGTTATCTAAGAAGTACAAAGTGGTTAAGCTGACAATTACGGATATAAAAACCAAAAGACGACCATATCCAATTTTATATCCAGGCATGATTTTACTAATGGGTCGACAAGTCGTAAAAGTATGAAGCTCGCCACGAACACCGATCTCGATGATGCTGTTTACAAGTGATTTACACAAAAAAAAATCACAAGAAAATTATGTTTTAAAAACGTTTACAATTCTGACGAAACTGGACTCAATAAATGAACGCGAATGAACGCTAGGCAAGAGTTTTTCGCCTCGCGTCGTGAATTAGCAGCACATTGTGTAAAGTAAATAATCGTATCTCTGCTCTAGCTTGTAATACAACTGTCATAAATTAAATTTATATTACATATATATTATTTATATATTGATACATACAATTACACAGTTCGATTATCCGAACACTTATGTCCCCCAATTAATTCAGGTAATCGACGCTCTACTGCACTTATATTATGAAGCAAAATTTTAAAATTCGTTAATAGCTAGGGACTGTTAAAGTTGAGGACAGAAATTTTTAACTTCAGGAAACATATTTATTGTTTTATTTAATTACGAAAATTGATGAAATTGGTTGTAATTATTTTAATATTGAACAATTGTACAAAAAGTTAAAGTAAATTAATTGTTTTTCGAAATATGGATGACCAAACACAAAATTTCGGTGCGCGGACATGGCTAGGAACTGACGTTTGGGGTCATTAAAAATGATTTCAAAAGACAGTAGTACATTATTATTTGAAACAAATTTTGAATAATTTTTAAAACATATTATGAACTGTTACTTAGCAATCTTAAAATAAAATATTTATCAATTATATCAAGTGGAAAGTGCTGCGGACGCAGAGTTGCCAGATTTTTGTGGAAACACCCATTCAAATTGTAGTACTTACAGTTTGATTTATCTAGATAGAACAGATTTTATTATCTAGATGGAACAATGTTTAATTGTTTAGGAAATGACGATCAACAATTCACAAAAATTGTCTTTTCCAGACGTGGTAGAGCTACACTGCATTTATGTTAGTTGCAGCACAAATGGGTCGGCTTAACTGGGGAAGGACCACGCTCTCGCGGAATACCAGCGCAAAATAGCAGCTTAATGCTGCTATGTTTTGTATGGTGAGTGTAGAGAACCGGAGACCCTTTGCACTTGGAATTCCATTGGAATTCCATCTTAGTCCTCAGGGCTGACTGACAACACATCTGGATTTTTATTCCTAATCAAGGATAAATGTAGATGTCTATAAGCTACAGCATCCACTTACCATTAGGTGAACTGTGTGCTTACTTATCACTCTTATTTTATTAGCAAAGCAAAAATTATCCATTAGCTATTGACAAAAAAAATTAAAATTTGAACATATTAAATTACAATGATAAGCAATTACTACTGTAATTAAAACAGTTTAATACAAATTATAGTTACATATACCTATTATGTATTAATTTTAAAAGAAAAATCATCCTTTTTATTTAATGGTAACATTAACCATTACTTTAAAACAAACAAAATGGCTGCCAGCACGGCTGACTGCACCTGCAACTTTTTTGCAAGTGTGCTTGCCTTTTGCTATAAACGTATACAATCTATGCCCTCAGTGATTCTCAAACTATTTTGGGCAAGAGACCCCTTTTCCCAAATGACCTGATACCTCAGACTCCCATAGCTAATACTATTTTTGCTATTAATTTAAAATACTTACCAAATTAAAAACTTTGTGGTTGGTAAAGTGAGTAAACTTGACATCATTTTCTCATCAAAATTTAACAAAATAAATAGATATTAAATTCATTAAATATAAAGTGCGGTTAATAATTATTAATACAAATTACAGTTACTAATTATCAGCTTTTGTTTAAAATTGGTTTCTAAAACCAATTTCTGGCCCAGAGCATGCAAAATAATTTTTTTAAATTGATAGTTGAGTTTATATTGTTATTACTTTCAAATATTAAGTTTATTCTTGTGTTTTGTTAAGTTTATTTTTGTTAATTGTTGTTGACTTTATTTATTTATTAAAATGCTGAAACAAATAAAAATTTGTTTTGGGGAGTCTTTAGAGGGGTTTAGTCATTTAAATCTGCGATTACTTTGAAAGACTTTACTTTACTTACTTACTTATCTTCACGCACAATCCCTAACGGGGTAGCCAGAGAGAACAGATCGCCAAGTGTCACGATTCTTACATATCTCTTTCGCTTCTTCAGGTTCATTATGTCCTTCATACATGCACGTCTAGGTATCCGAGTACTCTTGACCTTCCCCTCTTCGAGTAATTTGCTCACATGGTCTTCGAAAGTTGGTCTCGGTCTACCTCGACACCTTTTAATATTTACTTTTGCGCTATATATTTTCTTCACCATTCGGTCTTCACCCATTCGCTCAACATGCCCAAACCATCTGAGTATGCCCCTATCAATTTTTGTGATAAGGTCATCTTTCAATCCTGCCATATTGCGAATCTCTTCGTTTCGCTTTCGGTCGGCTATGGTAACGCCGCACATTTTACGAAGAGATCGCATCTCCACTGCATTCAACTTGATTTTATGCTTCTTTTGGCGTACCCAGGTTTCGCTGCCATATAACAAAGTCGGTACCAACACTGCGTTATTTATTACAAGGCGTGCATTCTTCACTACGCCTTGCCTTTTGACTAACGCATTCAGGGCACTATTGACTTTGTTCTCGGCAGCGACACGCCTGTCCACATCTAAATCACATCTTCCATCCCGGCTGAAAGCACTCCCCAAGTATACAATTTCATTTACCTGTTCTAGACATTCCTGATTTACCCATATTTCACATTTCGTTCTCTCTTCGTCCTTTTCAAATACCAGAACCTTAGTTTTATTAGCATTCAAACGGAGACCTTTAATTTCACATTCCTCTTTCATACATGTGACTAATGCCTGCAGTTCTGCTTCTGATGGTGCAATAAGCACTGCATCATCAGCATACAGCAGAAAATTTACTTTAATGTCACCCAATTTCACACCCAAACAGCTATTTTTCAGCTTCTGTAAACAGCTGTCGAGATACAGTATGAACAGCCAGGAAGACATGACACAACCCTGTTTTACGCCCGCTTGGATGCTAAACATCGGTGACAGGTCATGCCCTACCTGCACTCAGGCTTTACAGTCATAGTAAAGTGACTGCACAGCCCTTAACAATCGACCATCCACACCATATTCCGGCAACAGTTCCCACATTTTCTTCCTTATAACCTTATCAAATGCTTTCCCAGATCCACAAAAGCACAGCTTTTTTTTTTACTTTGAAAGAAAACAACAAAACGGCAGAAATAATATAAAGTTATTAAATTCTTTTTGTTAATTTTACCATTTCCTTGATGAATCATAAGTTACTTATTCTTAGTATATGTGAATATGATTGTATTGCACAATACATACTAAAATAAAATTATCTTGTTTACTTTTTTCAAACTCAAGGTACAATTGTATAGGCTTGACAATTTTTATATCGGATTATACAATTGTAAGTCACATCTCTAGTAATTAAAAAAAAATTACTGCTAGTAAGCATACAGTATTTAATTGGTTACGGAAGTAAAATAAAATAAACTTCTAATTTTATTAGTAAAAAAACTATATTATGAGTTTATTGAACTTAATGTTATAACATGTCCAATGTACATAATAGAATAGAAAAATTAATAGAATGAAATTCAGTGTTGTTTTCTCACAATTAATAATTTTGTCATGTCTTGCAAACACATGCAAGTTACATTCTCATGCACCATACTATAATACAAAGACTATAGTAAATATTTTCTGTTAACCATTGATTAAACCAAATTAGAAAAATAATTTTTATTTAAAATAATAACAACATTGTAAAAAAAATTAAATATTAATAAAATAAAAATAATAAGTTCATACCATTTTGACAAAAGCAAACTCCAGTTCTTCCAAATCAGTTTTCAGTTTTTTATTCTGTTCCATGGCCCTCTGAGCTGCAACTTTGTCACTGGTAATATCTGCATTGAGTTTTGAAACTTTTATATTGTCCTGATCATAATCAATCTTGTTACTCTTACTCAATACTTCAATCCTGGCTTGGCTTTCTGAATATTTAGTCTGTAGAATTGCATAGCTATCACTTAATTCTTGAAATTTAGTCTGAAAGTCAATATGAAATTATTGAACTTAACAATTTAACAGGACTAACAATAAATAAAATATAAAAAATTATAAATTAATTATGTTTACTTCAATGGTTTTCAATTTTTCTTGTAATTCATTGGCATTTTTTCCCTCTTCAGTAACTTTATTTACATGATAGCTTTGAAGCCTTATTTCCATATCACTAATTTGATCAACAAGACTATTTTCCCTATTGTAAAGTTGTTGTATTTCTTGGTTCAATGCATCATTTTTAGTACTCAATGCTTTAATTTCCATATTCAGTTCATTAACATAATGTTCATAATGTTGATTTATATTATCTCTTTCTTTTTTGAGTGCATGTAGTTGTTGTTCTAAATTTGATATCTTGTGATTAAGTTCTGAATTTGATGGATTATCTTCATTGTTATGATTTATGTTAACATCAGAATCATTTGTTAACTGCCTAATTTGCAAGTGAGCTGCATCTAATTGATTCTGAAGGACAGAAATTTGATTACTAAGTTGAAAATTCTCACTTTCTTTAACCGTTAAAATAGTCTTAGTAAATTCCATTTGTTCAAGTAAATTGTTGTTTTCATCAGTTAAGGCAGAATTTTTATTCTGTAAATCAGCAATCATCTTATTTTTTAAACAAATTTCTTCATTATATATACCATATTTTTCCTGCGTTGATTGAAGCTCCATTTCCAAACGACTAATAGTTTGCTCATAAACATTTTGTTGTTCCATCGCTGAATTATAGTTACACTGTAATTGTGTTAGTTGTGTTTCTAATTTCATTACTTGTGCCTCAAGCTTTGTCTTATTTGAAATTAACATTTCGGTTACACTTAAATTATTTTCTGGTCCTTCTGGAATATTTTTTGTGCCAATATTTTTTATTTCAAGTGATATTATTTCGTTAGCTTCACTTGCGCCAATGTTTGGACTAACGTTTTTTTCTGTGGTTTCTTTCACCAACTGATGAGCTATATGTGACGCATCCGAGCGTATCAACTTTTTTTCTTGATGGGTTTTTAGCTGTAAATACAGGCAATTACATAAATATATTGCTGTAAACAAAAAATATGACAAAATAATAAGTACCTTTTGGCGTGCAGCCGCTAGTTTAGCCGCTCTATTGTCCATCGTAATTGTTTAATTTGTTAATTATTGCAGTTCATGGTTTAAATTACATTATAAAGATACACTTTATTTTCATTATTACACAAAAATATGTAGGTATTTCTTATTTTGACATTTTTGACAATTGTTTTGTTGACTTGTGATGTTGGCAAACCATAGATTACTATAACTTGCCAATTACGGCAACCAAAGATTTAAGAACATACAGCCTAGTATGTTTATAATAATTAAAATTAGTATTCTAAAGCTGGAAACAAATTATTGGACGCGGCTGACAGCCGCGACTTATAGGTATCTAGATAATGAATGTACATTGACCTGTGCAAACTATCGGATATAAGTCGTAGACGTAACCTTGGACTGACCTTGAGCATTCGGACGTCCAGCAGAAATCTGTGGATTTTGTGTCAGACGAAAACGTCCGTGAACGGTATGCACGGGTTGCAGGCTTGCAGGACACGTCCGTGTGCCAGAAGAACGCTGACTACGCGAGAGCTTGCACGTGCGCATCTACGTAAAAATGGATGAACGATTTATCGAGTGTGCTCGTAACAGAAAATTACTGTATAATCATAAAGTAAATGTCTTTTTTAAATAACGTTACTCCTACACCTGTATCGTTGAGACAGTTTACATACATAAATAGCACAAGGACAAATATCCAGACCTGGAACAATTACTTGTAGGCCATACAAATACTTGTTCTGTACGGGATTCGAACCCGCGGCCCTCAGCGCTATAACTTATTACTAAGCTACTGCGCCACGGACCCGTCAATGGATACAAAGGGTGAAATGGTGAATTCCACGCTTTGTTATTTCTTAATTTATGTCTTGAACCCAAACGCTTCTTTTTGTTTTTGTTCTGGGTGACAACATAAAGCAGCCGACACTTATTCAAGAAAATCATCCTCACTTTAACTACTCTACATGTTTCTTTGTCTACAGTTCTTTGTGGAATTTACGTTAGAACGCGTCCGCTAGCATCGTCCCTTGAAGACTGTGCACACTAATCAGTCGCGGCTGTCAGCCGCGCCCGATAATTTGTTTCCAGCTTAAGTCAGTGGTTTATGTGTAGACCTCAGAGTAATTACTAGCATAGAGAGAGTCCTGAAATAGGAACAAAATTCTTATAGCTAAAGTCTTTATAGTTATGACGTTTAACGTAGTACAAAATAAGATAGCTATATCATTCTGACCTTCTTTCCTTTAAAAGGTGGATGCCGTTGCTACGTTCTTAGAGTAATAACATACATACGTATGCGTAGAGAGAGCCTACAATTCTATATAAATTGAGACAATATACTTGTCTTGCTTTTTCTTATTTAATTTTCAAATAAGTCAAAAAGTGACAAATATATTCAAAGATGTGGCGTATAATTCATGCGTGGAAAAAGAAATGTCAAGTGGTCATCTTTGGTCCCTTTTTACACTACTAAATAAAAAAATTTAAGTATTTATTTTGTCCAAGATCGTACTGGCTGACTTATTTGACAAATGTAATTTTAATTAAGTCGTGTTATTTATTGTGATGATTGACGTCTGTTGGCTTTAATATTTTACTAAAATATTATTGTAATATATTATAAAATTATATTTTTAAATAAAATATATCAGTAGAGATGGCTTGTTTTATACTAGGATGCAAATCCCAATCTTCCCGTAAGGAACATGGTTAAGAATTCGTAAGCTTCCACCGCTGTGTACGTTTTTATTATCATAGATTTAAACTACATTATAACTGTAAGTAAATAGTAATGCACTTTATTTTGAAATTAAAAAGTCGGTTTTTTGTAAAAATTAGACTGTATTTGTTAAATATAACCCCTAAAATACATTTAAGGCGTATCGGCAAAGTCGACAACTCCATATCGACATTCTTCTTAATATTTTCGTTGTTTTAGTATGTCTAAAAATGATAAAGAATTGGAAAAAAACTAGATGAGAATAATTCCACGGCCACAAAACGATTGGACAAAGAATAGCTGCATTTCCTCAAAACGCTTCTCCAAACATTGTTTTGTTAACGAAGGGAAATGGCGAAGGCTTAAATTAAATGCAATTCCTACTTTATATATCGTAAGAATACAGCTATTGTGTTTAATTTTATTTTTAATTATGTATCATTTTATATAATTATATCAAATCGCATACATTCAATGGGAAACCAACATACGAATAGTATTATTAATAATAATATCAATACATCCGTTTTGAAACTCCAAATATGTTTTCAGAGTGTGTTCAGAGGAGATTATGGATACTTCGCCCCCACAGAAAGTGAAAAATTGATTAAATGTGTATATGAATAGTGTAAGCACTTTTAAAAATAACTGGCTGAGAATTATTAAATAAATAAATCGTACGTTTATATTAGGTACTAAACTAACGTCGTAGCCAGAAAACGATCTAGTTTCAGCTGCCCAAACAGTCATTACAACGCGCCAGTAAAAATAAACTTTTTTTGGTCAACATTGCTTTTTCGTTCATTTATTGGCCGCGATAGAAAAACCGGTTCATTAAATGGGCCATAAATCATAAACGGTAAGTTTTACAAAAAGTTCACTGGAAACAAAAGATACGAAAATTTATTCTCTACAATAATAGTCTCTAAAACTTTTGCCTTAAAGTGCTAGTTTCCGAGATATCGGCTGAAAACGTTTTTTCAAGATGGCGCTTGAAGCGGCACCTGGATCTGTCAGCATTTTATGACTTTATGCTCAGTAAGTGACCCTAAACCTTATAAAAACAAAAAATTGGATCGGAAATTTAGTGCAAAGTTAAATTCTATTTTTACTGTACTACAAAGTGTGCAAAATAATAAGGCTTTGACATTAGAAGCTACTTAATTATATATGTGGAAAATATTGGTTATGCGGCTAAGCTCTTTCAGATCGTGTCGGATTGTGATTTGATGATTGTGAGGGAATAGAAGGTGCACCTGTGCTTGCGCATTCATTCGGACACTATAACTCTGTACGGTGTAGATAGGCTAGTCTCCGTGGAGACTGGTCGCTGTGATAAAAATTCGGTTGGGAGAACACTCAACCCAATTATCAATCAAGTCTCAACTCAACTTAACACTCATTTCAACCCAAGACACAAGTAGTGTGTTTGTTTGTTAGTTTGTTCATCATTATACTAATGACTTTAAGTGGTGTCAGGAGAGGAAATTTACATTTTTTTGGAATAAGTCTTAATTGCTGCATTTGTGATTATTGATCACAAATATTAAATAAATTACGTATAGTTTAATTATTTGAATTCGTTAAAGCAGTAGGCCTTATTAACCTACCATAGTCAAAAAAGGCCTATTAGCAAGGTTTTTAGAAATGTTTAATTTTGTACAACTTTTCGTTCGTACTTTATATAAACTGTAGGTACTAAGCCAATGATTTTTATTAAAATCTGTAGCTCAAATTGGAAATTTCTCACTTCTTTTTCGATACTCCCTTAGCTAGGTCTTATTACCCGCAGGTACTATATATCAAGATTATTCCCTACCGGGTAAATCATTAATATAAACCACAGAAATCTAAATAATAAGGTACAAGAAATGCCGTCTACTGTCTTTTAATATCGGGACGCGTGTCGCCGGTTCGCAGTAAACACACATAGACAAAAAAATTAATACACAATTTCGCCTGCATATATCTTTAGCATTCATGCAACAAAGATTAAAGTATAAATTAATGCGTTAAGGAATATTTTATACAAACACAAAATCTCAGGAGGCGTAGCCACTTGTTCCAATAATTAACGTATGCGAAAAACGGAGAATGACATTGCGTGCTCAGTCTCACTTGGGCATAGTGCAGCGTAACGCACGTTTCGATAACTTTCTATTAAACATCGTTTTCATCGTTGATCATCCAGGAGTATCACACAAAGATATCGAATTACTGAAAGTGTCTCAGTAATAGAAGCTTTTAGTAATAGACGCTCATATAACCAGAGACAAGAGGATATAATAAAACGTTAAGGATAAGTACATCCACTTATTTTTAATATCAGGATCTTTTGGGAACCTGGAATAATAGCATTGTATTAAATAAACACAGAAATGGATGTATAAATAAAATGAATACAACACTATACAAACAGCACACAAATGTATATGGGTGCCGGAAGTGCAGTTCACACAGCGCTCGGTTCGCAAAGCACTCCTCTCCCTGGACATCCACAAGTCGAGTGGCTCTGACGGAATCCCCCCAATTGTGCTGAGGACGTATGCTCCAGAGTTGGCACCGGTTTTAACGCGTCTTTTCCGGTACTCCTACTCCCTAGGCGTAGTCCCAAAATCATGGAAGACGGCTTTCGTCCAAAACAATGGTCTCGTTCTCCAATACAATGGAGTCTATTGTTAACTGCCAGCTCATGAGGTACCTTGAGGATCACCAACTACCAAAAGGAGTTTTCTTCCGCGTACAACCTCACTGTGGAATAGTTTACCACCGGCGATTTTTCCGGACCGATACGACCTGGGGACCTTCAAGAAAAGAGCTTACTCCTTTCTAAAGGGCCGGTATCATAATCATCATCATCATTACAGCCTTTCACAAGTCCACTGCTGAACATAGGACTCCCCCAAGTAATGCCACAAAGCACGGTTCTGTGCCACCTGCATCCATCGACTTCCTGCATGTCTTACCAGGTCGTCACTCCATCTAGTGGGGGGTCACCGTACACTACGCCTACCGGTACGAGGTTGCCACTCAAGAACCTTTCTTCCCCATCGGTTATCGGTTCTTCGAGCTATATGGCCGGCCCATTGCCACTTCAGCTTACTAATCCGTTGGGCTATGTTGGTCACTCTTACGATATCCTCATTCTTCCATTCATCAAGACCTTCCGCATATTATCCCCCAAGTTTCGATATAACTTCCTGTCTTACACCTCTCTGCAGTTGGATAGGTTTCGAACTCTGGTTCTGTACTCGGATAGCCATCGTAGCCCTACTGTACAAACATTTCAGCACTTCGATATACCGACAGTCAACTTAGC